GCCAATCAAATCATTTCAACACCGTCTTTCTGGAATATATGAATTAAAGGTCATAATTAAAAACTTGGGACTGCTTTGTTTAGACAAAAGAATAACCATAAACCATTCATATCTTTACTTCCTATCAGTTTTCTTGCTGCATTACTTCCAGTCAGCTTTAAAGTCATGTGCTCTGTGCTTGTATGTTATAGCTTTGAGTTGTGAAAACTCCTGTTAGCAAATAATGTTTGCATTTTACTCCCAGGTCAGCTTGTGTCTGTTTCCCCTCTAACATGGTGTTGATCTTAAAAGAAAACAGAAACTTTTGTATCATATCAGTGATGACCTTTGATTTTATTAATTATTATGATATGTTTTTGGCCTGGACATCTGATCATATGAGCCTAAAAAGTGCACTGCTGACACAACTGGATCAGTCACAATCAGAACCATTTACATTTTGTTTTACTTGAAGCCCAAAACTTGTTCGGCTCAACAGGTTTTTTTCCACCGTACAAGAAAAGCAATAAAACTGTTTTAAAAATACTTTTATAAGATAATTAACATTTAAAAAGGTTTTATTATATTAATACCAATTTATGTGTAGTAGAAAAACATCTAAGAAAATATATAATAATTACAATAAGTGCATGCATTCTGTTTGATATTTAAAAATCAGGACTTATTGAAGTAAATGATCAAAAATGGAAGCTTAATGTTTGTGTCTTGTGTTCAGCTTCTCCTGCTCCTGCTCCTGCTCCTGGCTATGCAGCTCTGTCATTGTGGTTTTTAGATCATGAAAGAAGAATTTCAGTATAAAACATGTTATTCCCATCCCACATGACAGCTTCATCTGTGTTGATAAACAGCCTGCTGTTATCTGCGACCAGGGAGAGAAGAGTTTCCTACAAACTGAATCTGACGTGCAGCTCAGATCCAGTGAAGATGAAAATGACAAACATGTTGGATTCAAAGGAGAGGCTCCTGATGAAAATTCAGGCCTGACCGCACGATAAAATGATGTTTTAATGTCATTTAAAATGTACGTAAAGGTTTAAATAAGGCGTCACACACCTTTCTGTGTGTCTGCCTTGAAGTGAGACGTGTGAGTGACGGAGCTAACAGTTGGTGTCTCTGTGTGTCGTCTTTGCAGTTGCATTGTGCGAGTGATGTAAATCCCAGCTGTCCTGCTCACTTGTTAGCACCGTCACCAACCTCTGCCGGCAACAAGTGGTTTACATTGTTCAATATTCACGCCTTCACTTGTCTCTGAGATATTCCTCTACCATCCTCAACCTTTAACTGATTAACCTGGACGACAGCTGAAATCACAGCTCGGCTACTTGTTGCATTTTTTGTCTGGAAAATTATTTAGGCTGTCTTTAGAGCAGCAGATTTATTAATTAAACTGATGCAGTGGCTCAACAGATTATTAATAAATGAGAGAATTTGCTCTGCTGAAGTTTCCTTGAGCAAAACCAGCGAATGTCTTCCAGCTCGGAGGCTGCAGCTATAAAAGTTTGACCTCTGACCTCCCTGAGGGGGGTCTAAGTGAAAAGAGAATTTCCCCACTGGGGCCAATAATGTGTCACATTATAACCACCATCACTGTACCTGACGTTTCTATGAAGTGTGTTAACATCACTTAACAAAGCGTCCCGGCTAGAGGAGAGTGAGATGCTGCTGGATGAAAACCTGGTATAAGGTTTTATTCTTATATCTGTCAGATGAGATGAGATCACTGTTCATTTCCATTTAGGATAAAGCTGCTGTTTTTTCTTATGCTGCAATAAAAGAAATCTTGCTGATGGAGGATGTTTTATTTTCTTTTAAACTACCAGTAATCCAGGGTGTGATTTATTATGTGATCAATTATGCCTATTTTTTAATTTGATCAATCTTTCCTGAAGCTTGTCATTAAATCCATTTTTAATAAAAGTGAAGCAGAGTGTCTTCATCATGTGTTCATCAAAAGGCCTTTCTTGTGTAAAATCTGAACTGATGATTACTTTTTAAATAATAATAGTAAAAAAAATCCATCACACTCCTGAATGAGCCTCAGGCTCAGGCTGCTGCTCTTTCTTTCCTTCCTCTTTAAATATAATTAAACGTTTCCTCATCTGCCATCTCAAATAATGAGTGAATTAAGAAATCTTATGTTTGTTTGGATTTTTAAAGTCCCCTTTAAAGCCAATAGACCAAGTTATGCTCATAAATTCCTGTTTTTTAAAGCAGCTTTTACGCACTTCCTTTAAAGAGCAAACTGCGTTTAATGCTCACTAATTAACAGCAAGTTATTATTGTTTTTACTTATTTTTAGTCATATTAGTCAGCACATCACAGCCGATTAAACATCTGAACACTCTGTGATTTCATAAAGCTTGCAGAATTTCAGAAAATAAATAACCAAATATAAAAAACAGCAAATAAAAACTTGTCGGAATATGGTTGAAATATTATTGTGCAACTAAATAAGCCGAAGAAAATTACGTTTTATCGTTTTATAAAATTACAGAATGTGTGTCGCAGCTCTTTTACAACACAAGAATAAAAAAAAATATATATGATTTTTTTTTTAATGAAGACTTTCCTTCAGTCAAAACAAACCGTAAATGCAGAAAATGTAAACGCGTAAAACAATAAGAGCTGCTCCTGTCTGCAGCCACGTGGACGCACTGCTTCATATAAAATGTGATTTTTAAACTGATCCGGAAAACTAACAACAACAATTTAATCTGTTATTTCATTAAACAGGATGAACACGTCTGTTAAACGCATTTCGTGCTGATAATAAAGCTCCCAGTGGTGATGATTACATTTCGCTCATTTTGTGTCATTGTTGGTTCAGTCATGGACCAGAAACTCTTCTCAGAGCAGCTTCACCACTGCAGGCCGTTTGCTTATTGTTCTGTAAAAGCGAATGGATGTGATCTTTACGAGGCCAGAGCTCAACATTCTCTCCTGATTGTTTCATGATTTTCGTCCTGAGGCGAAGCTTCAGCTTCTATCCTGCGAGATTGTTAAAGTCGTCCAACGCTTCATCTCTGCGACATCCTCACACGGCGCTGACCTGACAGGCCGCAGATAGACGGACCGCTTCACACCTGTCCAGCTGTTTCTGCTGCTTTTCTCGGAGGGTCGTTATTCCCATAAGCCATCTTGCCAAAAAACCAAACCAGCGTTTATAACCAGCGCCTCTTGTTAGGCCTTTTTCTTCAATGCCTGGCGGATTTTCCTAACATCTCCTGCCCAAAGAGCGTTTTAAAAGCCTCCCCCTCTTTCCAGGGGCACACATGGCGCACTCATAATACCAGTTCAAGTTCACATTTCAAGCCTTATGGGAAACAAGAGAGAGTGAAAGTACGAGGAGACGAAGAAACTCGCGGCTCTTTGTGAGGGTTACAGGGTTGGTTTGGTGAAAGGCCAAATATTCCGTGTTATGTCTCCTCACAAGCCGCTGTTATGGGCTTGTTTTGAATAGACCCATATGCACTGAGATCCTCGTTAATTGTCAAGTGTGAGCTTTGAGCTGCATGTGTAGCCTAATTGACCTCCATGCGCCACAACAAGGTGCGACTGATCCTGCGCGTTTACAGTCAGTCAGGAGGGAGACACTTCACACAGCGGAGCCACACGGATAATTAATACCAAAATGGTTCTGGTAATAATAGAATAAAAAAGTTCTCTATCTGTATGCATGTGAACTACAACAACAACACATCCTGAAGCAACATTCTGGATGAAGATTTGCTTTTACGCACATCCATCATGTGGGAAAGAAAGACGTCCCCGATAACAAACACACAAATATGTCACTAGATTATGCAGGAAAAGAAACGCCACAGAACGCACCAATCTGTTCCTGAGCTGAAGTGGGGGAAATGGAAATATGAAAGGCAGAGAAGATGTTGTTTTAGGTTGATTCTACGCGGAGCAGCTCGGGCTGCAGACTGACGGAGTGAGTGAGGGGGAGCCGAAGGTGTTGCGCGGCTGAAGCTGTTCAAACAAAGTGTCTTCTTTCAACGCCCGATTCCAGCTCTCTTCTGTTTTTTTCTCCCTCTCCGCCAAAAACACTACGGCACTTTTGTTCTCCTCGGCCGAGCGCGGAAAGATAAGGTGTCATCACTTGAACATCAAGGCTCTCCCCCCACCACCACCACCACCACCCCCGGTTGGAAAAGCACGTCTAAATTTCGCCCAGCTTTGCCTATAATGGCCACATGCCACATTGCTTCAGTCTCTTGACTTGTGTTGTTTTTACAAAGTACTGGATTGAGTGTCGAGTTTTCTTTCCCCTCGTTTTCTGTCATTTTAACATCGACAGTGATCACTTGGATGAACTTTGACCTTAAGGGATCATTTGAAGGAGCGTCCACTGAAATTCAGAAGAAAAAAAAACCTTCTGTCTTTAAATCTCTGAAACACTAAATTCCCAAAATCCAAAAAAACAAATCACAACACACTGCCCCCTATTTCCAGACTTCTCAGATCTTCTTGCATTTAACTGCCAGCAGCACCATCCAGGCTTGTGGGAAATGTGGAGGAACAGACGATTTCCCTCCTTAAACACTTCCCCTCGCAGCATTTATGATTAGACGGTAGGTAATCCCGGGATATCGACCCGAGCGCGTCGGCAAACTGCCTACACGTAAAGCAAAGCACAATATCGCCTTTCCCGAAGCAGGAATATGTGTCCCAGGCTCCTGGTTTTAGGCGATGCTATCTGATTATGCCTTCAGAAGGCCAGAGGAAGGAGGAACGTGTGGATGTGTGCGCCACCGAAGTGCCCAAAACACCCCCAATAAAAAAAAAACAACGCAAATTTGAAATTACGCACACAGTAAACCTTCTGTAGCTTCACCGTGCTGCTCTAAAACATTTCTAGTGTTGGGAAATTATTCAAATAATTTCTCAAATGTCACCCTGCATGCAGCTTAAATAGTTTTTAAAGATGGTTAAGGAGACCCACCAACAGGCTGTGTTCTTTTTCTCTGACAAGAATCATTCAAAGAAATCCTCGATTTTTAAAAAATCCATGTGTTTCTTTTTTCTTTTTATTGTAAAGGGTATATGAAACTATAGGTGAATCGTTTTATGTTTCATCATTTATCGCAAATAAGTTTACATGCAGTCTCTTTTCCAAATGAAAATGTAAATAATAATAATAATAATAGTATCAAGAGATTAAGATATTGTCATCTCATCACGGTTCTTATAAGACACTTGAAAAAGATCAACCCCATTAGCCCACCCTCCTAAAAAAAATAACAACAACAACAACAAAAACACAAACAAAAAAAATATTAAATGCTTATGGCTCTCTTGGAAAACCCGATGTAAACAAAAAGGCATGGGGTACCTTTAACTTCGTGCCTACAGAGTCTGCTGATACATCTACACCCCTAAAATAACAACGGTAATAGTAACAAGAATTAAGACACTTTATTGTTATTGTTTTCAACAATATAACATGTTACGTTATTACATTCCGGTAAAATACTTTTTTTTTCTCACCCTTTTTCTTTCTTTCTTTCTTTAAATCTGCGCCTCAACTGCAAAAAACTATCCGTCTGAACAAATCATAGAATCTCAAACCTATTCAATAAAAAAAAAAAAGATTAAAAACTTCCCTCAAAGCCAATAAAAGAGAAACAATAATAAACCGGTAGATGTGAAAATATTAGTAAGTGCTCTGCTCTCGACACTTTTCTAGAAAATCTCCCCAACGAGGAGAAGTTTAATTTGCGGATAAGAGGAGGAATTGCGCTCACTGATAGTTTTTGCGCCCACTTGTTGAAAAAAAAAAATGCAAAGGTTGAATATGAGACTAAATGATTTGTTACGTGGCTGTTTTCGCAGCGTTCCAGTCTGTCTGCTTTGCACCTTTGCCGCAAGTGCTTGAAGCTTTGCCCACCTCGTGAATTACTTCTCCAAAAAAAAAAACAAAGAAAAAAAATTTAAACAAAAAAACAAAAAACGATGCCCTCTGTCCCCCTTTTCTGCGCCATTTTTTAGGAGCCAAGGTCCACTAGATTCGAAGACATAGGGTTCAGTATGGTGTCATGGTGCAATGAGTGGTGATGGTGCACCGAGTCTGCGCCGCTGGGTACCGGGATTGCGCTGGGTCCCGGCGGGGGCGCAAGGCCGTGCAGGGACGGTAAACCGCTGTTCGAGCCGAGCAGCAGAGCCGGGCTCGGAGACGTGTGATCCGGTGTCCCCGAGGGGGTTTTATCGTCGTCCGAGCTCCCCAATAGAGTTTTATTTCCATTCATGGAAGAAGTCAATGGGTTGTGACTATTGCTGTTGGAGTTCTCGTTGTTTTCTCTGCGGACAGGAAAACAAAAAAATGACACGTGAGTCTGGTGGAGGGCAGAAAAAACGGAACAACTTTGGAGGAAAAATGTGAAAAAATTAGATTTATGCTGATTATACAGAATAAAAACAGGGAAAGTAAATATGCGTAATTAAATATTTGTAGATTAACATTTTAAAATAGTTTTCTGATTTTTAAAACACACACACAGATACACACACACACACACACACACATATAATTCTATTGTGTGTACTGGAAATAATAACCGGGTTGCACTATATTTACAACATCTTTAATACACTCATTAAAGTCTAAATGCTTGGTGTGGTTATTTATTAATGCGTCCATCAGTAATGCGTTCATGCGCATGTGTGCCAAGTTGCAAACAATTAGCATGTCAGTGAAATAATTAGAGGCTCAGCTCACTGCAACACGGTGACTGAAGACAATAAATCTATTCTACCTCTCAACCTGTATTTGTTTTTTTGTATTTATGGCGAATTAATTTAGCCAAAGTGATCCGCGCAGAGGCTCAAAGAGCGCAAACTCTGGGCCCAAAACGTCCGCACTGTCTGACTAAATGACAGTCATTTGGAGACGTGTGCGTGCTGCGTAAAAGGCACAGCTCATGTGTTTGCAGTGAGGCTTTTCTCAGAGGGAAGACATGATTTACATGCAGCTTTCAGCCCGAATTAGTGGCCAGAGGGTGAAAGAAGACACCAAACCCAGAGAGTACACCTGACTGGAACACCTCTCTCCTCCTGAGCCTCTCCCGCACGCCTCACTTGATAATTTCCAAACTTTTGAAATGTACAAACGACTCCTAATGAAATGTCACCCGCGCTGATGTGGAGGCTAGACAGGCGAGCCACATCAATTACACCGCAAAACATCTTCTAAACGTGTTCGGAGATGTTTTCCTGCACACGCTCTGTGTTCGCTCCAGTATCTGCAGGGTTAACAGGGTTTGTCTGATCTGAATGTCAAAAAAAAAAGTCAAATTTCATGTGATAATAAGTGTGGTTGCTAAAACATAAAAGTGGGGTAAATGCAACGTTTATCACCTTGTAATTTACCTGACAACAACTCTTTAATTTCCTGCTTTTCAACTTTTAGACGCGGCCTGCACAACGATCACAGACAAACAAGCAGGAGTTTACTAAAGCTGGAGTATGAATAAGTGTCTAATATAATCCAGCAGAGACGCAGACTGGTGGAGAGAAATGTGGCGATTAAATAAGAACCGTGAGGATTTCAATATTTTGTGGGCGCAATAAATTTTCCAGATGTAGGTCAGCAAATTAGTGCTGCACAGGCGCACAGAGGTAAGAGTGCTGGTTTGTGACTCAGGAGCATTTCTGTTTTTAAATTCTGCCAACTGTTGCTTCATGTGATACTAATAAAAGAAAAAAAAGAAAAAAGAAAAGTAGAAGCTTGATGTACTCTGAGATGTGCTCCAGTGTCATGAAGCTACAGCAGAGACACTCTTACCTTTCCTTCGCCTCAGCTGCTCGGTCTCGCTGCCGTCGGTTTTTGAACCAGTTGCTGACCTGCGTGGTCGTGAGTCCCGTGGCCTCGGCCAGCTCTCTTTTCTCCCGTGGGGATGGATAAGGGTTGTGGGTGTACCACTCCCGCAGGACGCTCCTGCTCTTCTCCTTGAAGCAGTAGCTGGTCTCCTCTCCGTCCCAGATGGAGCGGGGCAGGGGGAACTTTCTCCGGACGCGGTACTTCCCCACGGCGCCGAGCGGGCGGCCTCTCAGCTTCTCCGCCTCGATGTAGTGCGCTTTGAGCCACAGCTGCTGCAGCTTCGGGTGGTTGTGCGGCGAGAACTGGTGGCTCTCCAGGATCTTGTAGAGCTCTCGGAAGTTCCCCCGGTGGAAAGCGACCACGGCTTTCGCTTTGAGGACGCTCTCATTCTTGTGAAGGTGCTCGCACGCCGGGAGGGACCAGAGGAAGCGCCCCAGTCGCTCGATGTTCCCCCCTTGTTGGAGGACTTCGCAGACACACGCCACTTGTTCCTGCGTAAAACCAAACGTCGGAAGCATGGACATGGCGACAACGTAAACCAATACAGATTATATTGTGCCTTACTTCCACGTCTGTCCTCTCAGTCTGTCATTAAATCAAAACGCGTTAAGTCCATAAGCGACAAAAAGGTCCCCAAAAGAGTTTAAAAGTGCCCAAGGTTAGGCGACATCCAACTGCGTGCTGCGGAATAAAGTCAAGTCCATTCAGCCATGCAAAACCCCAGGCGACAATTCCTCATAAAGTTGTTGAGAACGAGAGAAAGTTGCTGCTCCTCGCACCGTCCTCTTCCACCTTTTCTATGCCGTTTCAACATAAACTACTCCCGGAGACCGGGCTCGCTGGCTCGTTTTAATAATATTATTCTAAGCTGGCAAGACAAGCGATTATATGAACTCTGATTGGTCGGTTATCTGACCCGGGGATGGTGAGGATAAGACAATAGCCTTAGTCAAATTATTTGCCATGGTTACGCTGTCACTCAAAGTAACCCGATATGCTTTGAGGTGGCTCCCTGGCAAAGTCAACCCGATTGTTCTCTTCACGACCGGCCCGCCTCCCCCAATAGAAATATTGCTCAGATTTTTCCTCTAAAAGACTTTTTTTCCCCCCCTTCCCCTTCACTTTGACGGACACCTCGAGCAGCCAAAGAGCGCAGGGCTGCGGGGAGTGTGGGGAAGGAGAGCCGCGCTGATCCCGCAGCTCGGGGAAGGATGGCGCCAGAGCGCACAGAGCTGCAGTGTGTCCTCACGTCGTTGGCAGCTCTCACAAATCAATCAAGATTTCCTTCAAGCCTGGAACTTTAAAGTTACTTACTTCATTGCTTCATAGGGATGAAAAAAAAAAAACCTGAACTGCAAACAGGCCACAACAAATGACGTTTAATGGAAAGTTCGCAAAAAGTGCCCTGACCTATTTAGGATGGCTGTCAAGACGCAAAAAGTATATAAATAGAAACAAAAATAAATTAGACTAATTATGTCAGAGAGGGCAGCAATTTATATTTTCTTACCTAAGCTGACTTGAGGGCGGTAGAAGTGGGTTTACAGGTGACTTGAGATAGCTTGAAGCAAAATACATTAGAGAAAACAAAACAAGCTGCGTGTCACCAGTGTGACCACAGAAGTGCGTCGGGTGAGAGATGTGTTCCAATTAATAACACAAATATGACAAATAAAATAGGCCTTCGAAAAAGTAAAAAAAAAAAAATATAGATATTTAGAAAACAATTAATGAAAAGTATAAATTTAAAACTTTTCCACATATTTTCCCAAATTGCGTCTTTTTTGGCACCTGGTTTATATTTAATTTATAGTCAATTAATTTAAATGTGACATTTTTATATTTATGATCCCTTTATCTCTGTATGAATATGTTGCTGCAGAATTAATTCTAACAGTGCCGTGACAGCGAAGATGATGAATATCTAAATGAGGGCTGAGGCGGTGAGAGCAGGAGCGCAACAGAAGGGCCAACTATCTGAAGGTGTGCAGCCGCTGGTGATGGAGAAACGGAGTGCGCGCCGTGGAGCTGCTGGGACAGAGAGCAGAGCAGAAGGAGAGTCTGTCGGGCAACAGCAGGAGCAGAAACACGGTGATCGAGCGGTGGTGAGAGAAAAAAACAAAATTCCGTTTGTATTTAAGCTGACACGGTTTTACTGCAGCAGTGGAGGAAGATGGAGAGGCAGAGCTGATCCACATCACAGCGAGGATTAGGAGATAAGATACGAAGGAAATCAGTTCAGTATGAAACATTTAAAATGACTGGAGAGGAGGAAATGTTAGAGGATGTTAGAGGTGAAGAGGGACTTCAGTGATTCATGGAGGAGAAAGAAAGTGACGTGAGGTGTTTGTTGGGGCTTGTCCTGGACTCAGGTACAAGGAGTCGTGCGTCACGGGGGACCAGACATGTGCGTTATTGACTGCTGGGCCGAAGATTGACCAGTTGGTAGATTTCTATCGTCTCACCATGGGACCTCTTCATTAGAGATACGATTGTCAGTTACACCCACACTCAGTATCACATCACTGCTGCCTCCAACCACACACACACACACACACACACACACACTGACACACACACACTGTCACACACCGCTGCTTCTCTTTCTAATCCTGCAAACCTGTTTTTACGCATCATAACTTCCATATTACCTGTGCAGCGCAAAAAGCTCCAACATTCAGAAAGTAAATGAACTGTTATTGATGCCTGATGCGCAAAAAAATATGTCAAATTATTATTATTATTGCTTGGTATTAAACATGCGTAATTTGATGCCCAGATTTTACTTTGACAGTTTTAAATTCTAAATCCTCTGGAAGAAGCCCCCTCACGTCTCATGTGTGGCCTGTAAAAAAATACATCTTGTCATTTTCTGATCAAAAAATGATTTAATTGTTAACTTCTGCTTCCAGTGTCTCATATTTTCGTCGCTCTGCGGGCCGCCTGCGATTTCATCTAAAGCCGCGTCTGTTGGAAAAGAAATGATTAGTGTAATTATGAAGTGAGTTTATCAGCGGAGATGGAGAGTCCTGTAAGACGAGCCTGATCCCTGTTTCCGCGTTGTGTTCTCCCTCTGTTTAATAAATTGACTTGGGTTTCGCCCGAAGCGCAGTTCTGCGAGTATTACGGCATTAAGCTGACTGATGGTAATCGTCAGGGGACCGAGGCGCAGAGGGGAGAGAGAGAAAAACTATTTCACCTTATATAGACATGGAGAGAGAAAACCCCCCCAAGAAT